AGTCGCAGAAGGCACTGTTAGCAGCAGGGTGCGTGTGTGAGTGTGGGCTGGGGTCCTGGAGCCTTGGATCCCTTGTGCTTTCCTCCACTGTGCTTGCAGTGATGTGCTTCTGTACAGGGCATCTCAACTATTTCCTGTCACTGTGATAAAATGCTGACCAAGGCAACCCAAGAGGGAAAGGACTCGCTGTAGTTCATGGTTCCAGGTGCCGGTCCATCACAGTGGGGAAACCAAGGCAACAAGAACTTGAGGCACCTAACAGACAGAAATAAATGCTGGTGCTTAGCTCACTGTCTTCTTTTTATTCAGTTGGGACCTCAGCCTGAGGAATGGTGCCATCTACTGAGGGAGGCCCTTCTTGTTTCTTTTCACCTATAAGAAAATCCCTCACAGATCTTACCAAAGGCTAACCTATTCCAGACAATATGTCACAGGTGTATCAGAGGCTTACGTCATGGGTGATTCTATGTCCTGTGAAATTGACAATATGAACCATCACACTAGATGACGAGGTTGAGATCTGTGAAGAAAGGGAGATATTGGACTCTCCGGTTTCTGTCCCAGAGACCAGAATTCTAAGCCAGATCAGCATATTCAATTCCCAACTAAGCACCATCTAGGGTACCAGAAAACTGTTCAGACAGGGACACTGGTGTATTTGCAGCTGTCATGAGAGAAACAGCTACTAGCTGGAGGCAGAATATTCAGTTGTCTTCCAGTGTTTGAAAAAGACAGGTGCAGAGTGCACTACCAGGCTCGAAGAAACACACAGAGGGAGAATTACCTTCCTGCCTCCAACTCCACTGCAGCGTGTTTGAGGAAGGGACTGAAGAAGTCTTCAAGTCTCTGGAGCTTGAGTGGCCAACAGAAGGAAGCAGCTTTAACAAGCCATTACAGAAGCCTGTGAGATCCCAGACCAAGTGGGAAAGGGATCTGTGACAGCCAGCCAGGCCCCAACTTTCACACTGTCTTCAGGTCTCTGGTAGTTCCCCCCCCCCCCGCACCCCAAGGCTACAAGAAACACCTAGATGTCTATACCTGACAGGTACTTCTGTCCTAACAACATTTGTCTTCCTTATTGCTGCTGGAACAAATGACTGTGTGCTTAGTGGCTTTAAACAGCTCACATTTACTGCTTTACTACTGTGGAGTTCTCATTTGGCTCACTGGGATAGTCAAGGTGCTGGCAAGATTCCTTCTCAAGGCTGCAGGGAAAGTGTTTTCCTGCTTCTCCAGTTTCTCGTGGCATCTGCCCACATTCCTTGGCTTTCTTTATCATCAAACCTAGCAACCTAGTGTCATCATCTCCTTTTCTGACAATGACCCCCCCCCCATTTCTAAGGCTTCTGGTGATGTCATCAGGCTACCTTCATAACCCAGGACCATGATGCAGTCTTGCCAGACCTCTCCTATCCCCTATTCTTGGCAGTTTTAGGACAAGATATAAAGCAGATACATGCAAGTATGGTGCTGTGTGTCCTGTTCAGGCAAGGGCTGGGCTACAGGGAGACCAGAACATGCTTGTACACAAATGTGCAGTGCATGCACACATACCCTTTTTGTTCAAAGTTACCTTCTAGGGAAGTCCCAGGTAGTGTGTTGGGAAAATCAAAGTTTGAGCAAAGCTCAGAGGATGTGGCTAAGTGCAATAGCAGGCAGTCTTATCATAGTTCCTCCTGAAGCTGAGGCAAAGGTAGGGCAGGGAGGAACCAAGGGAGGAAGTTAGGGTGCCTTCCTTACTCTCAGACTTCCTATGGCCCACTCAGGCCTTCTGTAGCCAGAAAGCTTCCCTGGTCTGTTTTTCCCATGAGCAGCTGCCCAGCAACTGCCAGGGCCTCCTAGGCCATGGTCACCTTAGGATATGTGCATAGTACTGGCTTCTGGGGACCAGGTCTCCTTCCCAGACCAAGCAGCACTGTTTAGGGCATTACCTAAGAACATCTCAGTAGTACTATATGTGTGTGTATGTACATATGTGTGTGTGCGTGGAGTCAGAGGTCAATGTCAGATGTCTTCCTCATTTGTTCTATGCCAGGTCCAAAGGGAACTGGATTTCCCCAAATTCTGGAGGTTAGACAAAAGACAGCATTTCTCAGGGATTTGTGAAGCTGGTTCCCCTCTGCCAAAAGGGTCATTTCCCTATCACTAGCAGAGGGATAAATGACTGTGATATCTAATAGCATACCATGCTGGCCTCCAGAATCCCTCAGTGTCACAGAGAAGTACCTGTTACACATTTCAGAGTTCATGCTAGCTCTTCTCACTTTCTTCCCTACCTTAAACTTTCCTTACTCACAGTCTGCCCTCCCCAGCTACTCATTCTCTTTGTAACCCTATTATTTTGGCTATGCCCTCCCTCCCTCTCTTTGTCTTCATCTCTCACCCCTGCTCCCCCTCTCACTCTCTATCACTCTGCTCTGCTCCTGCTTCTCTCCTGGACAGGTCCAGTCTGCTGCCCATGTCAGTCTACTACTTTGTCTCTGTTCTGGACTCTTCCATATGTCTATAGCTGTCTTCCTGCTCACATCCACAATAAAAACCTTCCCCTTAACCATACCATGAAGCAGTCATAGCATCAGTTTATACATCCTGCATCTTATTTTTTGAAGTAGGCTCTCTGACTGAGCCTGAAGCTTGCAGATTGGACTAGGCTAGCTGGCCGGCCAGTGAACTGCAGGGTTCCTCCTGTCTCGCCTCCTCAGTGTTGAGATTCCAGGTGCTCATTGTTGCCATGGCCTGTTTGTGTTAACACGGGTGCAGGGGGTCAAACTCAGGGCCTTGTGCTGGTGTGGCTAGCACTTACCAACTAAGCTGTCTGTTTTCCTCTCCCTGGCTCTTGTACTGAGTGAGCACGCACAAGCAGACGCCCTTGTTCTTGCTCCTGACTGCGCCTCCAGCTCCTCGCACAGTGGTTGATTTACAGTCCCATCAGTGAGTTTTGTGGCATGAAAGAATCTCAGCCAAGTGTGGAAGTCACCGTTACGTAGCAGCACCTTGAGCATGAACCAAAAAGTGCAAGGAGACAGGTAGCTTTCCCAGAAGCCTGAGGACGTCTGCACTGTGGAGCAGAGTCCTGAGACTGAGAGCCAGTGTCTTAGACTGGGCACTACCAGGGCCTTTTGGAGACTCCTCCAATAGATTGAGGTGCACGCCACAGATTTAGGGCTTGCAAAGTGCTTTCAAATGAACTTAAATTCATGGACACTATTGAACAATTGGAAGATTTCACACAGCAGATTTCAGCATGCCTTAAAAACTCTAGAAACTCTGATAGCACTAGACCTATGCTCCTTAATGGGACAGAGACAGTGTCAGTTCTATGAGCTCAGGTTCATACTAACCTTCCCCTGAGGTTAGTATGAAAGCTACAGTGACTAACACTTTGTCTCACATGGAAGCCTATAGCCGTGTTGCCTTCCTGAGGAGCAAAGTGGGAGCTGATGTCCAAGCCTTGATGACACACACCACCTTACCAGGGCATCCTGGCTCTGTATGTAGGCTCTGTGAGGGATGGCCCTTTGACATCTAACATAGTCTTGCTGTCTCACATAGGGAGACCTTCCCAGAAAACAGGGCCACAGGCAGCAGATGTTACTAGGAGAGGGGATCCCAGTGCCCCTCTTTATGCCATTCTCTCTGAGCTGCCACTCACTGCTATCTGATCTTGCGAGCCTTTGCTACTGTCTTGGCTTAGACAGGATATCAGCCAAGGCTTGTGAGTCTCCTGCACACTGAAGCAGGCTTTATGGGCTCTACTGCACGTGTACCACTGTCCTTGTGCATGTGTGCATGAGGATGCTGGCCAGAGCCAGCTGTTCCATCTTTCTGACTCAGAGAATCTAAAAATATCTTGGGCTGGGTGTTTGGAGGGAATCTATCATCAACCTGTGAATGCTAAGCTTTCAAGAGTCAGCATGTGTGGGCTTGAACTGCATTTCCCCCAGAAGATGCAATCATCTCAGCAGTACAGATGACAGCCCTGCCCCCACCCCTGTAGCCTCCTAGGTATCTTGTCTGATAGGCCTGAGGCTAAGCATAGCTGTCCTTGCTGTTGGGCTGCTGCCCCTCAGTACTGGTAGGAAGGGTTTCCAGGATAGCAAATGCATCCTGAGCCAGTGCAAGAAACAAGGTTCTCATGCTGTCTCAGCTCCATGAGTATGTCCCCAGTGAGGTGTGCTCATTCGTGCACCAGACGCCCAGTGAGAGTCTGCATTGGCTCATACATGAGTCCAAATGAAAGGCTAGTGTCAAGCCAGCAGGGGCCGTAATTGATTTTGAATTGCTGTGGAGAGAAGCCTCTCAGAAGATGGGCACGTGAGCCTGGCCTTGAGGGTGAACGGGATTGTGCAGTATGAATAGAGAGAAAGAGAGAGAGAAAGAAGGCAAAAGAAAAGGGAGAGGATGAGGAATAACTCCAGGCATCATGATCAGAGCACAGGAGGTGACTTTCCATCGATATTCAGGCAGCTGCAGTGCAGGAAGAACATGGTAGAACCACAAAGTGACTGAGAAGCAGTGAGAGGCCTGGATGGGCTCTGAGTCTGGAGGGAAGACTGAAGAGAAAGGGACTGTGAAGGTGAAGGGGCTGCTGCTTACCACTTTCACAGCTACTCAGGACAGTGAGCCAGCAGGAATATTGTACCTGGTTGATGTATGCTGCCAGTGAAAATGGGTGTCATTATGCTCTGGAGATGGCTCTGGTTTGGTTGACTGGAGAATGTGAAGATGTAGCCAGCTACTTAGCTGGGAGGGATCCTGACACTGGTGTCCCTGGGTTCCTTCAGTTAGCAAGCACCCATGGCATGCTACCACATGACAACAAAGTGGACATGGGAAACAGACAATGGCTGGTGGCATCCCAGATTCTGTAGGTACAGAGATGATCATCAGTGCAGGAAAAATGTGACTCATGCTTTTCTCAGGCTGATTTGTGATCAGTGACTTTCCTTAGGGAACTGACCTCCCCATAGTGACAGTGTTTATGTGTGCTTCCATTCCAGATGCCATAGGGCCTCTGAGCTGCTAAAGAGGCTCCCAATACACTTGTACGAGCTTGCAGCTTCAGGAAACTTCTCAGGCTGTGTCCATCCTGTTGGGCAGCCCAGCCACCATGGAGGCCCCAGAAGTCCCTGTGGGCTCCCTGATTGACTTTGGGACTGAACCACCTACCTCCTCTCCCCTGGAGGCAGCACCTTCAACACTCCAGGACCCAGATGGCTCCCTGGGTGATGGTGCATCTGAGAGTGAAACCACCGAGTCTGCAGACAGCGAGAATGACATGGGCGAGTCACCCTCACACCCATCCTGGGACCAAGACCGCCGCTCTTCCTCCAATGAGTCCTTCTCCTCCAATCAGAGTGCTGATTCAGCCCCAGATGAGGAGACCCTGGCACTTCGAGAGTTCATGCGCAGCTACGTAGAAAAGATCTTCTCCGGAGGGTAGGTCTCTGAGGGATGGAGGGTAGGTCTCTGAGAGATGGAGGGTAGGTCTCTGAGGGATGGAGGGTAGGTCTCTGAGGGATGGAGGGTAGGTCTCTGAGGGATGGAGGGTAGGTCTCTGAGGGATGAAGGGTAGGCCTCTGAGGGATGGAGGGTAGGTCTCTGAGGGATGGAGGGTAGGTCTCTGAGGGATGGAGGTAGATCTTCTTTGGGATGGGTATTAAATCTTTGGGTAGGCCTTCTAAAGACACTAGCCTGCTGCCAGGTCCCAGGGACCTGAGTCCTACTGTAGGCCACTGTGGTGCTTGGCCATCCTAGGCTGCCTATAGAGTCACATCAGGAGGTTTTCTTTTTTAAATTATCTATTTATTTTTATTAAACATGCATTGGTGTTTTGCCTGTGTGTATGTCTGTGTAAGGCTGTCAGGTCCTCTGGAACTGTAGTTACAGACAGTTGTGAGCCACTATGTGGTTGTTGAGGATTGAACTCAGATCCTTTGAAAGAACAGTCATTGCTCTTAACCACTGATCCATCTCTCCAGCCCCCATCAGGAGGTTTTAAAGGGTTCCAAGTCCTGGGGGTTGGAGATTTAACTCAGTGATAGAATGTTTGCCTCACAAACACATGGTACTGGGTTCAGTCCTCAGCTCTTGGGGGTGGGGAGATAAAGATTTCCCAGATAAAGACTCCACCTCATACCAACTAATACCTGTTCCCTGGAGCAGCATGTCATGCACCTACAGTCTATCTGGGGCTGTCTGGGGCCATCTGGGAGCAGCACATTGACAACTCTTAGTTGGGAAGCCAGCACCAAAGGTGGCCAACAGAGGGAATGATCCTCAGCCTGGCCAGACCCTGTTCCCTATGTATTCTGGTCAGCGCTGGAACAGAGACTCAGCGTAGCCAATTCATCTATTTCCCCTTAATTTTCTCACTTCATTTCATGAGTGGCTTTGTGTAGGCCTCATGGGGACCAAGGAAGCAGACAAGAGACTGTCTACCATGGTATCTTCAGTAACCTGCATGGTACAGACTGTACCCTTATTGTCATAGAGGCAGAGGATGCTGTAGAGAAACAAATGATAAGCTCTGTTATCTGTTAACATATATCACTTCAGAATTTTCTCCATGTATTCTTTTTTCAAAATGGTATTGAGGATTGTCTTCATTACTTTTCTATTGTTGAGAAGAGACACCATAACCGAGGCAATTATTAAATAAAGCATTTATTTAGGACTTACAGTTTCAGGATGAATCCAGGACTATCATTGTGGGGAGCATGGCAGCAGACATGGCATGATACTAGATCAGTAGCTGAGCATGTGTATCTTTTTTTTTTTTTTTTTGGTTTTTACGAGACAGGGTTTCTCTGTATTGTTTTGGAGGCTATCGGTCCAGCCCGGCCTCGAACTCACAGAGATCCACCTGCCTCTGCCTCCCGAGTGCTGGGATTAAAGGCGTGTGCCACCACCACCCAGTGAGCATGTGTATCTTAACCCATAAGTACAAAGCAGAGAAAAATAACTGGGACTAATGAGGGCTTTTGAACCTACATCACCTCCTACATCAAGGCCATGCCTCTTAATTCTCCCCCAAACAATTCCATCAACTAGGGACTAAATATTTAAATATATTAGCCTATGGGCCCATTCTCATTCAAACCACCACAGGGATATACTGTCCAGGCCTCATACATGCTAGGCAAGTGCCTTACTACTGAGCTATTCCCACAGCCCCTCTGCATCCTTATATGTGTATGCATATACTGTGTGTGTGTGTGTGTGTGTGTGTGTGTGTGTGTGTGTGTTTATGTATCTGTATCTGGGTCTGGTATGTGTAGTTATGCCTGTGTGTACCTGTGAGTGTGCAGAGACCAGAAGTTGATGTTGGATGTCTTTTTTAGTAACTCTTCGCCTTTTTTGAAAGAGGGTTTTTCTGAACCTAAGACTCCTTGGTTTGGCTAGTCTGGCTGGCCACTAAGCCCTCAAGATGCTCCTGTCCCTGTCCCTAGCACTGGAGCTACCAATACATGCTCCAGCTTTTATGTAGGTGCTGGGATCTAAACTCAAGTTCTCTGCTTACCAACAGTGCCACTTCTACAGCTCTGCTCTCCTCATTTTAAACTCCGGTCTCTGCAGGGTTGCTACCTCCCCTCCGCACCCCTAGCTGCACTGACACCTGTCTTACTTTGGCCTCCCAGCCACTGGGCATGTCCAGAGAAGCTTCTCCAGCTGTCTCAGAGCCTAGATGGTCAGGAAGCTGCATTTATTGCTGTAATTAAATTCAGAGTGATAATGGCAACAAAATCTGGTCACCCAGCTTCCTGGTGGAGTCTACAGGCAGCTGATTCCTAAGCAACAGTTTCCTCGGAGTCTCTTCCTGGAATCTCTCTGTGGCCTTTTTATTGTGGTTCTTTTTTAGTTAATGAGAGTCAGGGGGTCTGCCAGGTGTGGTGGTGCACACCTTTAATCCCGGCACTTGGGACACAGAAGCAGGCAGATCTCTGTGAGTTTGAGGCCAGCCTGGTGTACAGAGTGAGTTCCAAGATAGCCAGGGCTATTACACTGAGACACCCTGTCACGAAAAGCCAAATAAATAGATAGATGGATGGATGGATGGATGGATAGATGGATAGATAAATAAATAAATAAATAAAAGAGTTAGAGGGTCAGTGCACATGCTACAACATGTGTGTGGAAGTCAGAGAATAACTTTCAGGATTCAGTTCTCATAGTCTACCTTGATGAGGCAGGGTCTCTCTTGTTATGCTGCTGATTGGCTCACTATAGACTAGCTGGCCCATGAGGTCCAGGTTTTTACATGGGTTCCAGTAATCAAACTCAAGTCTTTGTGCCTGCACAGTAGTGCCTTTACCCACTGAGTCACCTTCTGGCCCTCTAGCATGATTCTTGAAGGATCAGAGTAGAGGCACCAGCAGCAGAGGCCTGGGAAGCAGGTGCTTGGGGTTAGAATATGGCCTGATCAGGGGATCTCTGGGTGGGCACTCTAGCTCTGCCTATCCATGTCACTATTAAGTGGTACCTCAGCCAGGACAGGGAGGTAGGTGCCAGCCCAGAATCCAGGGCTCCCAGGTATAGTCACTGATGTGTTAGCAGCTACAGCAGCTTGTCAGAACTTACGTTCTTTATGGACCAGCCACTTCCGTATCTCCTGAGTTGGTGGAAACACAGAGCTTCGAGCATTGTAGCTCCCTTGGGTGTGCGCCTGGATTCTATCAAGCCTATCTTGTGGGGACAGTCTGCCCACGTCTATAGTCTTAGGGAGCATGGTTTATGGTGTGATGGTTCATTTTCATTAAAAGCAATACTAATGTTTACCTCTTGGTCTGTGACTGGGGCTCATCTGGCAAGGTGCTTGCCCGGTGTGCATGAAGCCCTGATTTAATCCCAAGCAATGCATAAACCAACATGGTGGCATATACTTGTGATTCCAGCACATGGGAGATAGAGGCAGGAGGATGAGAATGTCAAGGTCATCATTGACCACATAGGAAGTTTGAGACAAGACTCATATAGAGACTCTTATCTAAAATATATGCAATATATTTTATATATTTATAATATTTTAGACATTATGTTTTATATTATAATTAATATAGTAATATAATAGAGCAATTGATGTTCACATTATTACATATATTAACATTTATACATATATATTAATATTTATACATGATATTTTATATGACTCATAGCATTATTTTTGTCTGGTGACAAATCCATAAGTACAAATTATGTAAGCTGGCCAATCCCCAGCCTTCTGCTTCGTTTTCTTCTTTGAATTTGAGGAAAATGTTTGGGTGTTCATTCACAGGGAGGACTTGGACCAGGAGGAGAAAGCCAAGTTTGGAGAGCACTGCAGTGGCGAAGATGGGAAAGGCCGTGAATGGTTCGCACGGTTTGTGAGCGCACAGGTGAGCACAGGGTGGGCAGAAAGCATCAGCAGCCAGGCCAGTGCCACTGTGGCGAAGAGGGTGGGGGACACAGGCCAGTAGAATGAAGTCAACGGCAGCTGGGGCAGGATGTAAAGGCCTACCCCAACTGGAAGCTCTTCTTTGGAAGGAGTAAGGACTATGACAAGCTTGGATAGTCTCCCAAAATTCCTTTTTCAGAGGCAGGCATGTGGGGCTCTGTCCATGCATACTTTTATTAAATAACCCATAGTATTCAAATTTTACAAAAGATGACATTTCAAGGTTGTGAAAGACAGGTTAACCCAAATGTGTTGAGAAAACTTCAGAAGAATCACATCTTGCATATTCCCATTATAGGGATGTATTCTTCACAGAGAAGTTAGAAAATGCTGGGGAAAGTAATTAACTAACCCAGGAATAGCCAGTTGTCATTTGGGGTTTTGTCACTCCATACTTCTCCCCATGGAGAAAATTTACAAAATTCTGAGAGGACAGTGCAGGAGAGCACCTCTGGGCTCCAGTGCAGAGGGCGCTGGGAAGTGCTTGTGTCCTGCCCAGAGTCCTGGCAGAAGGGAAGCAGCCTTTGTGGCCCATCCGAGAAGCATGGAGACATGTAGAGTGGCAAGCCCCCAGCCTTGCTGAACTGCTGCATGTCACCAGGTCCTGCTGATTTGCCTGGTTCTTTCTGCACAGCGCTGCAAGTCCAAGTGTGTATCAGAGCCAACCTTCTACCGCCTGGTGCAGTCCTTCGCAGTGGTGCTGTTTGAGTGAGTGACTTCCTCCCCAAAGCCTCCTGCAGTGTCCTTCCTGCCTTTCCCACCCATAATGAGCCAGCTACGAGTGTAGCCACACCAGCTGTCACCTACTCTTGCTTAGAATTTGTGACCAGCGTCTTCTGGGAGCAGAGGAGTGGACTCCCTCCTGTTCTGACGGGAGATGAGGTTGTTCACAGGGCAGCATCTGTAACTGCACTAGTATAACTTCCTCTTTTTTAAACCTTTCTCTCCATTTGTTTGCTAAGTTGCATGGCTGTGTGAATATCCCATTAGTATTTGGTTGGGATCTTTAGCACACTGCAGTACAGTCAGAATGGTCCTTTGCATTTGTAGAATGCCACTCTTGTATGCAGTAGTTTGCTTTGATTTTCAACAAGTGACATAAAAGGCATAAGTATTTATCTGCTGTGGTTCACAAGTGCTACCCCTGTACCAGGAGGGTAGGGACAGCAGATCAAGTTCCAGGGCTACACAGAGAAACCCTATCTCAAAACAAACAACAACAAATAAATAAAACAAAACTGGCAGGTGGGATCCAAGTAGTAGGGCTCTAACTAGTCAACTTTGCTCCCATCCCAGGTGCCACCAGATGGATGACTTTGGGCCTGCCAAGAACCTCATGACCATGTGCTTCACCTACTACCATCTGGGTAAGCCTGAGCAACGCAACCACCCTGGAATGGAGTTGTGTGCTGGTAACACAACATGAAGGGATGCTTCCTTTATTACCAGCAGATGCTACAGGGCTTCCAGAGACAGGACAGGCAGACATGAGACTCCTAACATGGAAAGAGACATGGACTGCACTTGGGGTCGGGGCTGGCTGTCTATGCAGGGAAGAAAATGACAGGAGGCAGGAGGGTCTGTTTTTCTCTCCAGCAAAGCAGGATTCAGAACTGGCCATCTAAGGGAGCAGCCTAGGATTATATATTCTAGGAAGAGTCCAGAGTGGCTGGGGATGATCAAACAAAAGATGCAGAGCTAGGAAGTCTCTTTTGGCTCATTGTGTTGAATCGCCCAGTGTGCAGGAACTGCAAGGTCTCTTGTGCTGAGCCCTGCAGAACCTGGTTCAGCTCCTCAACAAGAGTGCTGAGAGCCTCCCTATGGAGACCTGGGCATGGGTAACTGAGTACCCTCACACCGTCCTTATTGCTTCATTTTCATGTGCAGCCCCTTCCCTTTGCATGTGCTCTGGGTCTTCTGCTCCTCGAAGCCCCAACTGGCCTGACTGCTATAGATCATCAGCCTGGCTGTGTGCTTGTCGGCTGCCATCAAGTCAAATGGAAAGGTCCAACCTACTCACTTAGCCAGAGATGCACACTTGGCCTATCGGAGTTACCTTGTTGAGGTTATTTCCACTAACTGCCCTAAAGAAGGGTTCTGGGTTACCTCACTCATCTCTCCCCACCTTTCTATCCCATATTGACCTGAGGGAGGCCCATTCCAGATGCCTTTGAGACAGGGCTGAGTCTCTGCTCTGTACCCCACACCGAGCAGCCTCTTCTGTCTGTTGCCACAGCCTCTCAGACCTGCTGTGTGTCTCTCAGTGTAGACTTCTTTCCAGATGCCAGCTCCTTTGGGATACTTGGTAGTGTTTGCTCACTTCTCTGCAAACTTCTATGCTTATTGACCACTCCAGGGAGGCCTGGCCTTCCTTGTCTGAGATTCTGGCTAAGCCAGATGCTTCTAACCAGGCTGTTGAGGAAACTGAGGACAGTGCGTTGTATCTTGAGGTCCCTGGGCACTACTTCAGGCACTCTCCTTCTCTGTCCACTTCTTACTCCCTTTCTCCCCTCTTCCAAGGCAAACCGCACCTGCTCCCTGTGGAGCCCAAGGAGAAGCCAGCTGGCAGCATTGACTCCTACCTGAAGTCAGCTAACAGCTGGCTGGCCGAGAAGAAGGACATTGCTGAGCGGCTGCTGAAGAACACGGAGAATATGAAGGGCTTCTTTGGGGGACTGGAGACCAAGCTGAAAGGACCACTGGTCAGGAAAAATGAGTGAGTACGAGCGCAGGCCTGAGCTTGTGTGGAGATGGTCTTCGGGAAAAGCAGGTGGCTTGCCTAGTCTTGGCCCTGCAGCTGCTTTTGAGTCACACAGCTGTCAGCTCAGCATGACTGTGCACTCCCAGAGCTTCCCACGGTTTCCACATGCTGTTTGCTTGCTGACACACAGCGGTCCAGGAACCGTGTTTCTTGGGCTGATAGGAGCATATGGTTTTGTCATTTGGCAATAGGGAAATCACACACTCTGTTCCTCTTTCCTCCATCATGCAAGTTAATGAGAGTGAGATCAGGAAGGCCTCCAGTAGAGGCTGCTCTGGCATGCAGAGGACATTTTTGTTTTGTTTTGTTTGTGACGGGGTCGCTATGTAGCTTTGGCTGTCCTGGAACTTGCTATGTAGACCAGGATCACCTTGAGATTACAGAGATCCACCTGCCTTTGCCTCCCAAGTGCTGGGATTAAAGTCATGAGCCACTGCTCCTGGCCCCAGAAGGTTCTTGAGATTGGGGCATTGGTCACAGGAGTTCTGAAGCTAAGATACCATGAAGAGAGGGGTACCAGAATACAGGGGTAACCATCCAAGTTCCTGCACTCCCTGAGGCTTGGTTACAGCCAGGGTACATGACTTGTTCCTCCCTGTCTGTACAGTGGGCTCATAGAAAATGTTGCCATGCAGTCTCAGCACTACAGGTCAGTCCCCAGACCTCTCAATTGCCACTGTGGCACTGATTCCCAACCTCTCTTCAGAGAAGCCACACAGAGAACAGGGCAGCATCTGGCAGGAAGTATGGCATGGGTCAACTTTTCACTGCTTTGGTCTCTCTCCCTCCAGGGAAGATGAAAACAAACCTAAAGACAGACAGCTGAAGACTGGTAAGCTCACAGCTCTCTGGGCTGTGTAAGAAGTGGGGTCTTAGGGAGGTCGGGTCTATGGCATCTGCGGATTGATGCCTGGGGGGAAAGGGTGCCTGTGAAGGAAGGCAGGGCCTACCTCTCTGGCCTTGTAATCAAGACACACCACCCAGGACTCTTAAACTGGCCCACCACTAGCCAACACCAGGAACAAGCAGGTTGCACATAAAAGGACTTTGCTGGAAGGGCTGCCTTTCTAAGCAGACTGAGCAGAAACTAAATCCTCCAACCCAGGGAGTTGAACCAGATGTTAGGGGAGGTGCCACTGCATGGACTACACTGGGAAGAAGTGCTAAGCTAAGGGTGGCTAAAAGCTTCCTGGAATGTGGACAGTGTGGCTTGATAGCTCTTGAGATAAGCAGTGCCTCCTGAGTGTCCGTAGGAGCTCCCAACATGGTCTGCCCTCTTATCTCCTTATACCTACAGTGACAGTGATCAGCCCTGAAGATGAACAGAAGGGGGAGAAGGTTTACCTGTACACACATCTGAAGCAGCAGCCCATCTGGTAAGGTCCACCCATATCCTGCCCCAGCTGACCTGGCCTAGCTGCTGCCCAGCCCCTCAGCTGCCGGTGTCTCCAGCAAAGACAGTGACCATCCTCACCTCTAGGGTAATCACAGTGACAGAATAAATACCAGCAAGTTTTAATAGGGATGTGAAGACATCTGACTCTCCATGGAGGTGGGAAGGTACAGTGGCATGGCCATTGTGGGAATGCCTGGCAGCTCCCCAGGGGCTAGCAGAGTGGCCATGTAACCAGCCATCCCTTTGTGGGTTCATGCATGTACCTACATGGGAATCTGTATGGAGCTTACAGTACACTGTCCAGAACAGCCCCAAATGGGCAAGGCTATCTAGTTAGGCATGATGTAGTCTTTCTACAACATGAATTGTGGAAAGATCACCATGCAGTGACCTGAAAGCCATTGTACTCATAAGAGAAGTTAGACACAAAAGACCATGAGTCATCTCATCCTGTTTGTGCACAATTCAGGCAACATAGAGCCACAGTAGATAAGTGGCAAGAAGATGAGTAACCGTTGTCTTTATGGGGCTGCAGGAGTGCTGGGGGTTAGACAGTGGGGAGAGCTGCACAACTGAATACAACAAAAAATCACTGAATTGCATGTCTTATTTCCTTATTTGACTTTATGCATTATTATTAAGAGTGTATTGCTTGCATGTGTGTCTGTGCACCGTATGTGTGCCTGGTACCCTTCAAGGCTAGAAGTGGGCATTGGATCCCCTAGCGCTGGAGTTACAGATGGTTGTGGGCTGCCATGTGTGTGGTAGGAATCGGCACCCTGGTCCTCTGGAAGAGCAGTAAGGGCTCCTAACCACTGAGCCATCTCTCTACTCCCCTACACACCTTATTTAATTTTGTGTGCCAGGGTTGTCACACCCTAGGCCAACATTGCCCTTGAGCTACATCTCACATTACTGGGTGAACTTCATTGGATGTAATTATATATTAATGTTATTGTGCATGTGTACATGCATACACACACATACATAAACACACACTCTTACACATACACACACACATACACATAGCTGAAGTGAGAAACAGGCCTATGTTTTTAGCATGTCCTGGGAAAGGCTCATCTGCTATCTCTGGTCCCTGGTGTGGTGCAATTAAGATAGTAGGAACTTTAGGAGTGAGGTGTAGTGCAAGGGACTCAGCCTAGGCACTATCAGGAAGGAATTCATGTAGTTACCACACTTTCAAGTCAGTTCTTGAGAGTATGTTGTGACACAAGCCTGCCTTGTACACTTGGCCTTTCCTAGGCCATATTGAGATGCAGCCAGAGGACTCTTGCCAGAACCAGTAAAGGCTGTTGGGTCCCTCTAGCCATAATCATGAGTCAAATAATATCTTTTCTGAATATATCATTATGCCAACATCACTAGGTATTAGCATAAAACAGACCAAGACAGCAGCAGTTAGGAGCTGTGGTAGCCTTTAGTGTTGCTCAGAGCCCTGGGGAGCCTCCCATCTCACATTCACTCATCAGTGAGGAGTCACTCCAGCAAGGAATAGATATATAACATGGCTCCTCTCTCAAAGGTCACAGCCCAGCGAGAGCCATGTGAGAAGTGTGACTGAGAAATACAATGGGAACCCCCGGGGCAGAGGTCAGCACAAAGAGGCAGGACCTGAATCAACTGGAGACTGCAGCAGAGGGGCAGGGAGTTCACTGGTTCATGTGACCCCAGTGGCTACGGTGGACACCTCAGGTCCTGGAGCTGGTGTAACAAAGGGTCAGAAACCACTCTTGTGGACACTAGGCCACGTGGTCTCTGTTCGCCCACACATTATGCTGTGTAGTCAAAGCTGCCATGTGACAATGAGGCAAGGGACCTTCATGTGCAGGTGCAGGCCACAGCCACCGGCCACCCCTGACTTTCTACAGGAAGAACTGTTCCGGCTTCTGTATTCCTGTGGCTATGGTCCTATGACAGCTATGATGTGTGGCTTCTGGGTTCCCATGATGGTGAGGAGATCCTACTCAGCAGGACAGAGGTCTAGTAGTCTGCTTCCCCTTGGAAGCCCGCTGCTGCCCACTTGAGCAGCTGAGCAGGCCGGTTTGCACCACCCTCCCGTGGGCCTCTTCAATTCTTCCATCCCCTGCCAGCGCAACACTTTATTTACCTCTCAGGCTTCCCAGACACTCACAATATGAGAAGCTGTTACTCTTGGTGTAGAGGGTAGAGAGGACCTACCCACCCCTGGGTAGACCTTTACCATGTCTCATCCTGCAGGCACACGCTGAGGTTCTGGAATGCGGCCTTTTTTGATGCTGTGCACTGTGAGAGGCGGAAGCGATCCCCCACTACCAGGTATGAGCCAAGGGTGTCCCCTCCAGCCTTGAGAGAAAGGACCAAGTCTTGGCTCACTCTCCCAAGTCCTTGGGAGCCAGCAAAGTGGCTGAGCTGCTTTTGGGTTCTTCCACCCATGTGTCCCAGAGCCCTGCAAGCTGCCTGAGGGGTTAGTGCTCACAGCTTTGGGGGTGGGATGCTCAGCTTGCATGGTGCTTCCTGTTCTGGGGCTCTGGCATGACGTGGCCTGATCCTCCTGAAAATGCCACCTCCACCCAAGGGAGACCCCTGGCCTCCATTCCACCCCTCTGTCCTCTGTTAGGATCAGACCTGGCAGTGCAACTGCCCCCTGGGCCCGTAGCTGAAGCCTGAGCAGACCTTCCCATCCATGCCCATCTCAGATGCCCTGTAGGACCCTGTTCAGAAAGCATGGGAAGCAGGGAAGGGCTTGTCCTCAATACCACAGAGGCTTTCTTTGGGAGCAGGCACAGGTTGCTACCCACTCCAGTCAGCTGCAAGGCAGCAGCCCCTGTGGAAGCCAGGCCAGCCCTACTGGCCCACCAAGTGGGGCTTTGTAGCCAGTATCTCAGAGCTTCAGTTGACTATCACTAGGGAGGCCCTGGGCCTTTCGCTGTGTTTGAAAGGGAACAGATGAGCAGAGCACTGTCTGGTCGAGGCTCCTCTGCTGGAAAGTGATTATTTGAGGTAAAACCCTTCCTCAGAGGAGCAGCTGAGGCCAGTGAGAATGAGGTGGCTTGCCTCAAGTCCCATGATCCTCTGTTGAGACTGTCTCCTGGGGAAACAGAGAAAGCATGGGGTGGACAAGGCCCTAGAATTCCAGAAGACCTTGGGGAGAATCCATTGTGTCTGGAGACTGGGCGACCTCCAGGCACACCATTGGCTTCTTGCTGAGCTCTCCCAGCTTCTAGAGACCCATCTGTTCTGGGTTCCCTGTCTCTCTCTGTCCTCTCTGCTCCCACCTAGAATAATCCTCTCTGCTTGTTCTTTTCCATCCACATATCTTGCATGACTTTGACATGTGCCTTTGTTTACCTGTTTCTGCTGCCGCTCCAGAGGGGATGCTGGAGAGCAGGAGGAGAAGAGGTGTGTGTCCACGTGACTTCGTTCCATTTTACAATTCTGGGGTTCCTTCCAAGGCCACTGCCAGGAGGGGAGGGTGTCCTTGGGGAGGCATGCCCTGTGCTAGGTAGGCTGGTGACAGGGCCTAGTCTAAGGCAGATAGAACTTGCCAGGATCAGAGCACCCTAAGGTAGTTAGGAAACAGGACACTGTGAACCACCCCAAGGGGTACACATGGGCAAAAGGCTGCTAGCCCTCAGGGGCTTGGCCTTTCTGTACCTGGGCCAGACACAGGAACCCCACTGGCAGGAGAGACGGGTGGGGGTGGAAAAGCTGTCCTGTTTGCGGCTCCTCCCACTCCCACCAGAGGGGGTGTTATCTGGTCTAGGGTCATGTGAAAGGATAGTCACCCCCTCTCCTTCAGCCACTGGGCTACCAGAAGAGCTGGGGGTGGTCTCTTGAAGCAAAGATGGGCTGCCTTTGAGCCTGCAGGGGTCTCCCTCATGTTTCCCAGAAGCCTCTATGACACGTTTTTTAGAGTAAAAGCTGCGCCTGTCCATAAAGAGTTGTGAACCCAGGTGGGTTTCCTTGGAACGTTTCATGGAGACGGTTCACAGCTGTGTTGCTCTGATGACGCTTGCTGCTATGGCTTTACAGTAGCTGTGAGGAGCATTCAGGCCTGATGTCCCCTCACAGCAGCAGGGGCCCCTACCCCTGTGTTCTCTCAGAGAACCCTGTGACAAACCAGCTTCCTAGGAACAACTGTCATAGTTCCCCCCACCCCAGACAGCTGAGCTGGCCCATGCTGCTGGCCCAGTGACCTGTTCTGAGTCCAGCTGAAGGAACTTCCAACTGCCTAAGCCTCACAAGCCTCCTTGCTGGAGCCCAAGCAGCTAACTGACCAGTACAGGCCTACTGGAGAGCAGCTGGTGTCACTCAAGTCCCCTAGCCTCCAGCAGCTGTCTTTATCAGTGACCCCTCCTAACAGCAGATTCCCTTCCATCGTCCAGTCCCAGAGATTTCCATCAAGTGCTGGGGACACACACACATACACACACACACACACACACACACACACACACACACACACACACACACACACGACAGGGAGAGAGAGCACTTAGATTTGTGATTGATGTGGTCGATGTTCCATGTGTAGGACATTGCAGAGGCCTGAACTCAGCTCTCAGGAAGCAACTAGATAGAAGGCGCCAACCAGGCCAAGTTGTTCATGACCTTCCACTCTTTTTTCAGAAGTCAGGTGACACCTCAGATTTAGTCCTGTGCACAGCAAGGAGAATCACTTCCTCATGGTGTCAGGCATGGAGGCCTGGAGCTATGCCACACAAGTCAGAGAGTGATTTACTGTGCACATCTGTACCTGGCAGGCTGCTGGTGCTACGGGGCTGTGTGTGCCTAAACAGCCTCAGAGCAAGTGTTGGAAGACTGCACTGTCCCTCCGGTGCATTCTGGGATCTTGATAGGTGCTACCTGGGCCTACCGAGGCTGCAGGTGACCTCCACCATGCTGAGCTGTGGCAGTGGGTGGACTGGGCCGGGAAGAGGCAGGCCTGGGCTTTTGTCCCTTTGTTTTGTTCTCTCCCTTCCTTCTTCCTGCTTCTCCACGACTGACCTCTCCTTCCTCCATGCCGCTGCTTCTCTCCCTGTGCTCCAATCTTTCTCTCCACTTTACTTTTAGTTAGCACCATCTGTCCTGAGGCTTCTCTTTGGAGGAAGTGGGCCAAGATAAGCTCCCCTCCTATCCAAAGCTACGTATCTGTCCTCTGAGTACGGGGGTCTGACTTCACGTAGGCAGTGAGCATAAGACACGGGGCTTCTGTGCCTTTTAGGAGGGGCTGCTCCAGGGGCCTCACCAGGAAGGGGAAAGCCAGGGTGATGGGTGACATGTGCCGGTCTTGCTGTGGCAGTGGTAGAGGTGTCAGCATAGGCACCTCCATCCTGCTCCTGGGCTTTCGTCTACATAGGGCAGGCGGATGCCTAAAAGAACACCCCAACCTTACCAGGTACCCACCCCATGCCACCTGCCCAGTGCAGAGGACAGTCCTTCTTAGAGACTGTCCAATACCTCACTGGCTTTAGAGTTTGGACTGGCTTCATGATGGCCACATGGTCACAGCTCAGTGCCAGGAGGCCTATAGGCAGAGTGTGGAGTGAATGCCCTCTCCATGGTAGGAAACAGCAATGTTGGAGAATCCCTGGGAGACTGGCAGAGTCTGTGCAGAAAGGACAGTGTGGTTGTCACACATTCCCAGGCTCCCCATTCCTGGGTCTCCTGTAGATGCTGCCTTGTGCATCTGGTCCCTGAACACTAGGCAAGGCCCTAGCCCCTCTGAGTTTCCTGGACTATAAGGTGGGCCAAATCCTCAGGAAGGCTGTGAGTGCACAAGGCCCTCCCAGGTCTCCAGGACAGTAGAATGTGATTCTTCATCTTAGGCAGGGAGTAAATGTTGGTGTTTGGGGGCAGGCTCTGGTGGAAGCTACCCACAAGGTGGGTTCCTGTGTGTTCACAGATCAGGGGAGGGAGGGTCCGAAGCCATTCTGAAGCCCATCCTGTCCTTCTGTGCCCACAGGGAGAAATGGTGCCACATGACCCAGGAAGAGCGGGATGACAGCCTGCGGTTCAATGAGAACATCACCTTTGGGCAGCTGGGGTGAGAGCCGAGTTGTGAAGCCAACCTGGGCCACCTACCAGGATGGGGTGGTATAGTGGGTCTGATTTCTCAGGAACACAGGATGGGTGGTGAGTCCTCCTCTTGATCCTGGGGCACAAACTCCAGTTAGGAGGTATGGGTGAAAATTTCACCTGATACTGCCCCAGGTCCCAGTCATCCCCCAGTCTTAGAGCCCAGTGTCTTGGCTCTCTTTTCTGGGCCAGCAGGAAGGTAATGGCCACGGGTGTTTTTCCTCCAGCACGTTCACGCACAACATGCTGGCCTTTGGTCTGAACAAGAAGCTATGCAGCGACTTCCTGAAGAAGCAGGCTGTGATTGGCAACCTGGATGAGGGTGAGTTGGGCTAGGGGTACTGTGGGGAGGTGGGAGCCAGAGCAAGCTCTCCACTCTGGGGCTCCCCATCCTGCCAGAAGGAGCACACCCCTCATGGAAACCTGTTTCCCTGGCTTGCCTTCTTTCCCAAACCCATGGAACATATAATCTGGCTGTGTAGCCGGAAGCCATTTAGCCAGGTAGGAAATAAACATGTCTCTGGCATTCTATCTCTGCACTTGTGCAGAGCAAAACCCTGGCCCAAGTTGGTACCTTCCAGAGCATCATCTGGTTTTGAACCGCACGGTCAGGGCAGGGTGGTGAATAGTGCAGGGTTTCTGAGGCTTCCCAGAGTCTATCCCTTGGCCTCAGGAGAAAGCTTTGTGGCTCACTGTTGTCACTCAGCATTGAAGCCAGGTTTCCGTGTCACCATTTACTACTGGCGTTCTCCTGGGCCAAGGCCTTATACTTAGACCTATCTTCTGATGAACCAGTGACCTGCCCCTGCCCTCATTTTTAACCAGGAAGAGCAGCTGTGCAGGTGCAAGGGCATTTGTAGCCATCGGGCAGCCTCAGGGTTATCTCCCCCTCCACGTGGCCATCAGAGCTCAGCATGCCTTCTGTTGGCTGCTGGAGGCCACACTCCACACATGACACCATTCCTGTAAAGACCCATGTTCTGAGAAAGAGGACCGGCTTCCAAGTGTGTGCTCCTGATGAGGGACAAGGCTCAGCTCTGAGATGTAGCAAGGAGTGACTATGGCCCTGTGGCTGACTGTGGCTTGAGCCAGCAGCCTCATCCCTGGCCTTAGCGTACAGATTGGGCCAAGTCATTCCTGGCCACCAACCATGTCTTCTGGAGTAATCCTGTTCTCTCTTCCAGAGCAATACAAGCTGCTAAGTGACCACATTGAGCAAATGGCCACAGAGTAGGAGGTCAGCCCATGCCGCTCTCCCAGGAGCTGTCACCCCAGTGATGACCCTGCATGACACCAGCAGCACCCAGAGCCGCCTGGCTGCCCTAGAACTAGCAGTTAAAAGACTCCAGAAGCCTGTCTCCCCTGCCTATGTCTGCTCCCCATTCTATGTACAAGGTGCCCCTTGGGTTACACAGCTAAAAATGAGGGACCATCTACCCCAACCCATCCCTGAGCACCAGGCTTGTGAGATGAGACAGAAGATGGAGGAGGCCATGAGCTAGGGTCCCCAGAGTTCCTGCTGAGAGCCAGGGACATGTGGGCATGGAGGTGCAGGAGGGGATCCTCGTGGCTCTAAGGTGAAGACAGAATCACTACTCTGAGGGACACAGCCTACCACTCCCTGCCACAGGACTTTCTGTGAGCATAAACTGTGTGGAGGGACCATGGAGCCTTTCCGAATGGTCTTGGCTACCTGCTCTTCTCCACCTCTTCATGTGACAGGAACTAGAAATCACAGGAACTGGAAGAGAACTCAAGGGTTGTCACTTTCCTAGGGGTGTGAGCTTTCTGCCAGCCACAACCTTGTCTCAGACTCAAGAGACCCGTCAACAGAGCCTGTGAACTGTCCACTTACACAGCCTCTCCTCCAACAGCAGAGAAAATCCTTCAGTTCCCAGGCAGCAGCAATATATGCCCTGGAATGCAAGAAGCATGGGGGAAAGGATGCTTCGGCAGCTCTGGGGTGACACCCTTGCTAAGAGCAGCTGGTTAGAGCACACAGAATGGATCTGACTGAGTCCTCGAGGAGGCCACAGGGAAGAAAGGCTGCCTGGTAGCTCCAGTCCACGGCCCTCCTCTCATGAAATACCCACAGGGACTTGCTTCTTCTTCACCCCTGTGCCAGACCAAGTCTGATGCACAGCGTCCAGTGTGCTGGCCCCAGAGCTGCTGTCCCCACCCACCCCACCAATGGCCAAGGTTCCTTCTGTGCCAGCCACTGCCATTCTGGTCACTGACCTTGAACTAGGCCTGCAGGCTCTCCTGTCACCCTTCATCACCTCATCGTTCTCTGTTCCTCAGCCTTCAGTCACATTTAGTCAAGGTCTGTCTGTGAGCACAGCAGTCCTCTGCTGACAGCCGTGTGCTCAGCTGCCATGGGCAAGCCTTCCCTGTGGGGAGTGTCTCCCTAGGATGTCCAAAGAAGAGCGGGATGGGTCCAGCTTTGGAACAAGCATTTCTTGGATGTTGGGGGTGACCAAGGTAGTTCATCCATCACTGAGCCAATTCAAACAAATGCTGACATCCAGGTCAGCCTCTGATGGTATAGTATGTGTTACTGAGCTAGCTAGGACACCCAGCCCAAACTGTGCCTGTCTCTGCTCCTGTGTTTTAGGCAAGTGACATCAAGTGAGATCACCCCTGCTATCTTTTCTGGAGCCTTTCTCAGCTGTGCAAGCATGGTAGCCTCTCCTTGCTCTCCCCAGTCCTGGCGTTAGTGTGAGTTCAGGAGCAGTGAAACTTGCCTCCAACAGCTGTGTTGTCTGATGTCTGCTTTGCCCTGCACAGCCCTAGGGGAAGAGCACCAGTGGTTCCAGCACATGGACTGTAGAAATGACTTGGAGACTGTTCCATACCAACCTTTGAGATAATCATTACGGAAGAAGGAAGGATGGCTCTGTTTTGTCTGTCTCTTGCTCTTTATTCTTGCAGATACAGCCCCACAGAGTTGGGAAATTCTGACCTATGTTAGAGCCACGTGACACTGCTAAGGACCTGGTAACCCTTTTGAGGACAAGGCAGCCTTTGATGGGAGCAAAGCTGCAGGTGACTGGACACCTGCAGATGTCCTTTGTTGACAACTAGCTTTGATGAGCTTTTCACATCTGAGAGCCTCTAACCAGTGTCTCTGGGAGGTCACTAGTCTGCCCCTCCCCCCAGGTATCCTGTCTTCCTGTAGTAGCTTTCCCCTAGGACCCGCCAAGCAACTGGGCTCCCTGGCAAGCACTCCTTGGCTGCCATTCTGAGCTCACCAACCACAAGCAGGTCAAATTACCTGGATAATCCTAAGCAGTATCTCCAGTCTTGGCTGGTAGTGGCCCAGATCTGTACAAGCCCTTTAGCAACACACTCAAGCCTTTCTGGCATGTGACCTTCAGGACTGCGTGAGTCTTTGTCACTCACAATAATGTTTGCCCCCACAGAAAAAAATCCCCTGTTCTGAAAACAGGCCAGTGGTGAGCTGCCTCTCTGCTGTGGTCAGCTTTGTTAGAGTGTTGTGGGTGTTGGAGGCGGAGTGTGACATCTTCCAGGCTGTCTCTGCTGAGTGTCTAACCACAGACAGAATCACACTCTGGTAGATTGAGAGATCTGCATTGTGCAACCTGGCAGACTGTGGTTTTCTCTTTGTCCAAGAAACAAAGGGGCTGAGGAGCTCAGCATCTCCAAGAGGACCATGGACAAAGCTAGTTTTCAAGCTTCATCCACACAGGAAAGAGGTCTTCCTGACTGGGCCAAGTGTACACCTGTAATCCCTCACTCAGGAGGTGAAGGCAGGAGGATCAGGAGTTCAAAGTCATTCCCAGCTACATCAGGGGTTCAAAGCCAACCTGGGCCTCATGAGACCTGATCTCAAGAAAAAAAGAACAAACAAAAACAACCAATAACAGATGATCCCGAGAATCCATGGTGGGCTTAGAGCCAGTGCCCCAGCTTAAGATTGGCCTGATGCAGATGGGGGCTCATGGCCTGCCTTGTCCCCCCTTAACTGAGAGGATGTAGTTGGTGCTCTGTCCCTGATTCTGTAGCCCAGAGACACTGCAGGGCCCAGGGACACAGGAGGCTCCAGAGGCAGCACACCACTCTAGAAACACCTGCCATTCCTGGTTGCTGGTGTGAGGGGCCCACGCTTCTCTGCTGGGAACTCTATGAAAAGCTAAGGTCTAATTGTGGTGACCTTAGTAGTCCTACACCGTAGACTCATACCCAACCATGACCTTCCTGGGTCACACTGACAAGTTGGTGTTTCATTCTGGGCCTGCACAGCTAGGGCAGCTTTGTTCCAGTTTCTAGACTGCAGTCAGATAGCCAGGAACCTTCATAACTAGAGGATCCCTGTGTGGGACAGAGTAGCAAGGGACTCAAGGAGGTGGCACTGGCCTCACAGCCTCAGGGAAACAATAGGGGAACCCTCCTCAGCAGGGGTTCCTTGGTTCCAGGCCCCTGCCCTCACTTCTCCCACCTTCCAAGCCAGCCAGCTCTGCAGAGCCCCTGCTAAGGGTTGAGCTGCCTCTTCCTTCAGATCCAACCTCACAGTCATGGCCTCAGTTTGTTTTAGCTTGAGAAGCTTCCAGTAGATGCCCATGGAATGGGCCTCATTGACTGGACAGGCTTCTTACAGGCCCCTCTACTCCACTTCATCAGGCCAGGAACAGGAGTACAGTATTAGGTTAGGAAGTGAGTGGACCGGTCTTTTCCAGGCTGCTCACATGTGGAGAACACACTCCCACTAAAGCCATCTTCCATGACAGGCTCCTGCAGGGCCTTCATTTTGTACTACAACCCCCCTGGAGTCTCTGGGTCAGCATATCACCTACTCCTGGGGAAGGATGGAGTCCAGGGTGTGGTGGTGGCCAGATTGCCCTGCTACAGAGGGGCAACTTATGCCAATGCCCCTCTGGTAGTCAGTCTGAGCTTTGAATAACAGATGAACACAGAGCTGGGAGCACACCCCAAGTTGGCTGTGTTCATGGGCTCCTCGGGAAGCTGGTGCTTTGGGGGACAACACTGTAGACTCCAGGCTCTGACAGGAAGTGGCATGGGCCCAGCTGCAAGCCATGCTCCCCTAAGCTACAACTTCAGAGATATTGCACTTTATCTAGAAAGGTCCCAGGCCATGGATTTGCCTTGGCTCTGATCCTGAGCGGAGGCTGGCCCTATCCCATCCTTACTCCTAAATAATAAGTGTGTTCATGGAAAGGAGGGAAGAGACCCTGCCTGGTGAAGAAGGTTGGATCACCGCCACCTTTGCAAGAGGCAGTATCTTAGAGTCAGTGGGGGAGAATAACCCTGGTCAGTGGCCTAAGACTGTCAGTTCATCCAGAATAGGGGTGCCTTGAGAGGTATAAGTTGGACATTTGGCTGTTGGGAAATACTTATCTCAGACAGCAGGCATCTATCCCCATGGAGAATGTGTAAGGACCCAGATTGTCAGCTGCCTAAGCCAGTTTCCAGTGGGGTACTCCACCTGCATGGTCTGCTCTCTCTTGGAATTCCACACCCATTTGTTGCCAGAAGCCCCTAGTAATGCTGTGTTTTATATGTTAGTTACACAACTTTTTGCCCTGCCAGGTCATGTTCTAAAATTAAGGTTGAGAAAGTTATGAGGTTGAAGATCTCAGGCAGTGCTGTTTCCTGTGAAGAAAAAAAAATCCATATATATAGTACCTTGGCTTGTCAGGAGGTGGAAACTGAAATAAATTATCTTTTAAAAAGAAGTCAGATTAACTTATTTTCACATATCTGTGAGGACTTCACAGGATACATCGTCACATCACTGGCCTTGCAGAAATAGATACCCCCACCCCCACTTGGACTTGGCTAACTAAACTCAGAGACTGGGTTGGAGTTTGCCTGAAAACAGAGTGTGGCCTGCTTCTTTGACATGTAGGCCTCCTTGGATCTGATCACCAATTGTCATGTGGGTCTAATCAGGGTCTATCACCTGTTACTCCCAGGTAGGAGAGGGGAGTAGGGGTACTTTGGCTCAGAGATGAGTCAGGGTCAGGGGGCATCCTGCTGCCTTGGTGGTGACCAAGCCTGATGGATCACCTAAGTTGTCTGTAGAACCAAGTTTCAAAAGACAGACATCCTTTCTCACATGAGTACATAGATCCAAGTCTAGGACCTCGGCATGCTCATGATGGCCTCATTCTTCCCAAGGAACAGATCCCTTGGAGAGTATGCCAAGGGATCACTCCACACATCTTCCTGGAGGCCCCACCTACTCTCTGCCTACCCCCACAGTGGACTTTTGTGTGATTATGGCCCCATGGCCACAGTATAGATGTCATGTCATGTCTGTGTAATAGCTGAGATCTGTGCCCATCGGCCAGTCCTGGGGTGCAGAGCCTGCAAATGGCCCTTGCGGAGGGGTCGGGAGGCAGCCACAGCAGTCCTGAGCTTATAGAAGGGGGCATTTGGGCACAGACCTTGGTGCACTCAGGGAGAACTCCATGTAGATTCAAAAGCAGACATTAGGCGTCATGGCCACAGGAGCACCTGCCAGAAACTGGCCAGAGGCCTGGGCAGCCCCTTCCTCCCAGCCTTAGGAGGAACTGGCCCTCCAACACCTGATGAAGATTGCAGCTTCCAGGCAGGGTGGCCATGCTTCTGCTGCTTTAGCCTCCTGGGTAGTAGTACTTTACTGGGAAGACCCCAAAATCTAATTCAGCATGTTTTAGCATTAACACAAGTGTGGAGACGCCTGTCCCCAGATGAAGGCAGGAAACAGATCAAGCAAGGATGCAGTTGACAGTCACATATCTTTCACTGACACGGGGAATTTGAGTCTGCAGAGCGGCCTACTGTGCTGATGAGGGAAGTGAGGCCCCAGGGATACCTGACCCTCGGACACAAGCGGAACCCACCAAGGTCCAGGTCAGCCTAAGCCTTCCACCTGCCACTGGGATCTTCTTCCTAGTCACGGCGTCCCTGATGCTGCCCCTTGAGGTCCTCCAGGGGGATCTCCTCCACAGAGTCAGCCTCACTCTCCTCTTCATCTTTCTCCTGGTGTGCCATGGTGCTCTGCACACTCTGGACGTCAGAAAGAAAAGTCACAGCCACAACATCCAAACCAGGAGTGGTGGTGACAACCCCTGAGTTGGAGAGGTGGCTCCCCTGCACTGCCATGAGGAGTGACTGGCTATGAGCTCTCAGCAAGTGAGACCAAGAGAGGGCATGAGGACCAGCCAGGGAGAGTGAGTCTGGAGAAAACCCAGTTCCTTCACTGTGCTTAGAAAAGACCTTCGTGAAGCTCAGTGACAGCCCCTTGCACTGATAACCTCCCCTCCCAGTGGCCACCTCCCCCTGCACTGGACACCTCCCCTCCCAGTGGCCACCTCCCCCTGCACTGGTCACCTCCCCTCCCAGTGGCCACCTCCCCTTACACTGGTCACCTCCCCCCACAGTGGCCACCTCCCCCTGCACTGGTCACCTCCCCTCCCAGTGGCCACCTCCCCTTACACTGGTCACCTCCCCCCACAGTGGCCACCTCTCTTCACTGTGACTCTGAGCCCATGTCCGCCCTGGCCACACCCCACTTGCAGACACTGCCGATTTCCCTGAGGTTGTTGGCCTAAGACTGATGACAGTGAGCTTGTTCCTGGGCTGTCAGATGGCATTTGGAGAGTGTGCCTTATTCCTAACATCTGAGAAGTTCTGAGTCTGCCATGCCAGACCCTCCCTTCAGTGCACTCCGCTCGGCATGCCTCTGGGTGCTGGGCACACGCAGGTGGACACGGGCAGTCCCTCCCCAGCAATGCCACCACTGCTCCAGTTGTCAGCCACCCATCCACTTCCCTCGTTTCTTCACTTTGTCCCTGGGTTAACTCCTGTGATGCACAAGTGCTCACCTGGCTGGCCAGAGGCCAAGGAACAGATAGAGAGGGGCTGTTGTCCGTGAGTGGCCGAGCTTCACTGTGCCCATAAGCTCCACGCATCTTAGCTCTGAAGTCCTGCCAAGGAAAGGTCAGAGGGGCCGGATGCAGCTTGAAAGCACAGTAGTGAAGTAGGAGTCAAAGACAGGAAGAACACTGTAGAGCTGGGACACAGGCCACGTGCCTATGAGGCACCTGTGGGGTCTTCTTGCCTCTAGGTAGAGGAGGCTGAGGCAGGAGGATCATGATTGAGGCTATCATGGGCCATAGAGATGAATGAAGCCTTTGAGAACCTGGGGTTTTTCTGTATCCTTCTGTGTGGTTTTACAGCATTTGTAAGAACCCTTTAATGGATCATCCATCTCCCATTCTGCTCTTGAGTGCCAGCCTTAGTGGGTCGCCTGAAGCACCCTGGCAGGAGCACACAGAATGACTTCCTCTTGACCCCACAAGGCCTCAGTGCTCCCCATATCTCAGGCTGCTGGCTGGTGGGAATCATTCACCAAGGGAACCTGGGGTGGGTACCAGGCGGTGGGCTTTTGTGGACTCCTGGCTCAGTTATCAAGATCCATACCCATAGAACTCCACACTGCCTCCCAAGGCACCTTTACCCTTTCCCTGCATCCAGAGCACAGCTGCCTCCCACCACCATCTGCACATACAGAAAGAGGCCTTTGAAACAGCCCAGCTCCAGACTGTGACCCAAAGCCACGAGATAAAGGGACAGATAATTGGCTCACAGCATCAGCTTTGGGGCTGAGCTCTGCAGATAAAGCTTGCTACGAATCTAATTAGCATGGCTGGGGACAGTCACAGAAAGTTTTGGTCCCCGCTGTTTCTCTTTGGGACTAAACAGTCCTGTGAAGCTGAGCAGGTGATGTTCCAGGTGACCAGGAGAAGATTCCACTACAGGGTGGCACTCTACCAGGTGTTTGAAGTAGCTCATCAGAGCAAGCCCTCAAGCTAGATAGAAACTCGGAAAAGCCCAGTGACCCACCTGCAGGTCTCGCTCCAGGTCGTAGCTCTCCAGGGTCCTGAAAGCACTGGAATATACCTCCACTGCCTTTGCGTGGAAGACCATCTCGATGGTCACAAAGTCAGAGAAGATTCTCTGTGGGAGAGCAGCCTAGTCAGGGCAGTGGCACCACACAGGTTCACATCACGTATGCTGAGACACACCCACAATCCTTTTTAAGTAGAGGGCGAGGGACAGCCCTCTACCTAGAGGCAAGAAGACCCCACGGGTGCCAAGCCCCTATCACACCACACTAACAGAGGCCACTGCCGTTTGAAAGGCCTCATAATCCAGACAGCCTGCACCAGTTCCCAGTTTCATTTACTTATATTCTCACTTGCTTGTTCCACAACTATTTCCCACATACCCACCATATCCCAGGCCCTGGATCTAGAGGCCAGGTGGTCTGGGGGTCTAGCTGACCTTCTGGGCCTCAGAGATGAGAGGGGTAAAGCCAATACAGGGGGCTGACACAGGGCACAGCCTGTGCTAAGTCCATGGGGTAGACAGGGGCTTGGTCCTTGAGGCTGGGGTGGGAGTGATTGCACAGGAGGCTGGAAGGCCCAGGCTGCTGCCTTGGGTTAGAGGTGGATTGTCCTTTGACCTCAGGACAAGGTGAGCCACCAAAGGGTGTGAATGCCAAGACTGACAGATCAGAGCTGTCTGCCATGAGGTTCCTGGGGTTGAAGAGGGGAAAGAGAGGACTGGAGGGTGGGGCAGACAGAGATAGCCATGGTCTGTTAGCCCTGAAAGAGCAAGTTCTTGAGACCTCTTGAAGGACCTGGGACTGGACTTAGTATCCCATAGTGCCGAGGGGAGCAGTCCTGGTGGAGATAAAGGAGACCCTGCCTGCCTCACAGCACCTCAACATGGCTGCTTCCCAAAAGAGCTTTTAGAGCTTCAACGAGGACCTAGGATCTCTTGTGGACGTGGGTGAGAAAGAAGAGCAGGAGCAGGAGGGGACAGTGGGGACAGAACCGTGCCTCAGCATCCTCCTGGCTGGGAGCTTGTCCAGAGCACTGAACAGCTGGGTGAGGCCAGCCCACCCCGAGCAGACAGCCTATCGTCTGTAGCCAGGACCAAGTCTTCCCAGAGCGCTGGCTTCTGAGGTCGTGTTCTCACACACTGCGTGTGTACCTACTCTCAAGCTCAGGAAGTCACACACACCCACATGAATGCATACACCCACACAGGGCTGCCACTGCCCACCCTGAGGTCCTTCAGCTTCTGCTCCTGGAAGGCATCCACGGTCTCTGCCAGGTGGTGGGTAGAGCGGTTGGTGTCCACAGAGGCCCTCTGTGCACTGGTCTCCGCCTGACCTCGAGAACACAAGAAGTAGAAAGTGTTACACGGCAGTCCTGGCTCCTACATACTATTCTGGGTTGTTCTCAGTCCTACCATATCCTTTGGGGGAGTTCCTCCTGCCTCACTAAGTCTCTTGCTAACTTGGTCATTGAAGAAATAGCCAGGCAGGAATCATGGTAAAAGGGTGGTCGCTGAGGTTGGACAGACCTGTTTCTTAGCTGTGTGACCTCAGATACGTCACTTAACTTCTCTGAGCTTCAATTTTCTTGCAAGCTGGAAGACAGTAATGAGAGCTGCTTGCAAAGTCGAGAGAATTGGATGGTAAGAGATGGGGAGCTGTTCCACAGTAGAGCCCATGCTCAGCATGTGTGAGGCTCCCAGGGCCCCAGACCCGTCCCCAACACTGTCAGCAATAACCATCATTCTGAGATAGGCACTTGCTGGTCTGAGCTTTATTCCATGGAGGCTCCATGTTCTTGGTAACTGATTCTGCCCATGACAATTGCAGGTGAATTGCCTG